GCCAGAGTCTCAAGACCAACTAATTCTGCCCCGACTCCGAAACCCTCAGACGTTTCGGGGCCGGAAGCAGGGGAGGGGGACCAGAACGAACAACAGGAGGGGATGGACTAGGTGTGGACTGAACCAGGATCGAAGCGACCCCCACCCCCAAGTCCTGGTCCCTATAAGCAAAACGGGGCAGCCACAGGGCATCCGGGTGAGCAACCAACCGAGCGCGTTGCAACAAACGAAACCTAGAATACAGCCTGTACTCAAAGATGATCATCCACAGATTGGGTAAATCGAGTCACCAGCTAGCAACAATACTCACAGGACTCAGGGTCGAAAGTGTCACTGACCCAACAGGCTGCGTGACGAAGGCAAAAAAGTGAGGGTCGTCCTGAGACAAGGGAACCAAACAACCCTCAAACTCACACGAAGCGAGGGGGGGGGACCCTGGGGTCACATCCATCAGACCCACGTGTCCCCTAGGGGATTCCCAGGGTCCTGAGCGTTTACTTGAAGAGGACTCGCACTCAGGTAAACCCAGGCAGGGTACTGTTAACCGGTGCCCAAAAGTACCAAACTGTCTAAAGCGACAGTCCCCAGAGACGTGTACACTCACAGGGGCCAAGCAGGGAGCACCACCAAGTATCAGGGTGAGGCCAAACACCAGTGGCAAGTATGGCAGAACCCCCCCACAAGAGGATAACGTACCCCAAGGAACAGAGCCGGCCGCTGTGATAGGTGACAACAAGCTGTGCAGCACCCTGCGCCCCTTACCAGTGCAAAAACTGCCTCTTACCCCTAAGGTAAACTAGGGAGACAAAACACCCAGTATCCAAAGGGCGGCCGAAAAACCGAGCAGTAAAACGGACACATAGAGGCAGATCCCGAGGAACTTATGGAAGCTCCAAGAGCAGTACTTACAGGGCACCTAGGGAAGGGAACCCTAGGCACATGCAGCCTGAGTACTGAGGAATAACTTCTGGCTCTTGTACCCATGGAGAACAGCAGCCACACACAAGGCACAGCGCCACAAAAAGACTGGAGCCAGAGCACACAACCGAGCTGATAGCATCAGCCTCAAGAACTAGGGTGCAGTACGTCTGGGGTTACCCCTCCCCCCTCCCGGGGAGGGGGTGGAGCTGCGCAGACAGCGGCGTGACGACGGGTGACATCATACTGGTTTGCTCGTTTTTGTTTGGGGAGTTCTATCCACTCGTTCGGCTTTTGGTTGCAATTTTCACCAGAATAGGGGAGTTTGTTTTGGGATGCCTACCTTTCTGGGTGCCTAACCCAGTCAATGGCAGACATAGAAAGCTTCCAATTACAAGGGAGTTTTTATAGACCATTGCTCCCCTTGCCTCTCTAAGAGTGGGCCAGGTTCTTGTTTGTGGTCCCTGGTAGGCCCATAAGAACTCCATACACATGACTGATGCCAAAGTCTGACATTAGCATATCAGCCTAGTAAGCTCCGGGAAGCCGTAGGGGCTCCCCCACAGAAAATGTACTCAATAACCATTAACCATCCATGTATGGAGCAGCGCATGATGCATGATTAAGCACAGTTGGGTCTTGCCAGTAACTGGATAAGTGACTATGCAGAAAGAATTTTGCTTTGCTAGGAGGGACCTTGATGAGCCTAACAGGCTTCCTATTCTCAAAAATCATTACCAGTATTTACCATTACCATTAAATGCTAACACTGACATATTTCCTCACCATATCACTATACTTCCCATGTTGCCTCCTTACACAATCCATCCTTGTAATGTATGCTAAAACAACATTCTCACATTACACAATCAAAATTAAAAAATCAATTGATTTAAATATAAGCATTACCTATTATTGCAGCAGTTTTCATGGAGCATTTGTTAATGTTTTCTACATTTCTTGTCTAATGATGCAATCCATTATCTGGCAGGCACAACATTTCAAAATATTCAATATTAAACTGGATGTACAATGAAATTATAAGTACGTGATGTATTTATAATAAAATATTGACACCATACAACGAGATTGAACTTTCATCCCTGGACTCCCTGAAGTATATGGAATAGGTATGCTAGGATAAAAACTGCCCAAAAGTAACCAGATGAAAGAACTGGAGATGCAGACCCCTAGAACTAGAAACATACCCAGATCTGGGAAACAAAGCACACAGCCCAGTTACAGAAACAGGGCATCCAACCAGAGGAACAAACTTTTTCCTGAAAGAATTTTGAAAAATGCCCAGGAGCAGGTGAATCCTCCCAGCAAGAGGGTTGGGAAACATACCAGAAATACCCCAGGACTCTGAGCCATGTACCAAAAGCTCAAGCCTAGAAACCAAGAAGCAATCTCACACATGGAAATGCATTCGGGAAATCAGAAACCAAAGCAAGAGACCCAGAGCACAAACCAGACTTTGAGAGTTGAATGGAGACTTGGATACCTTTTGGCAACAAGAAAGAGCCAGAGAAACTTTTGGCAACAAGAAAGAGACAGAGAAACCCCACTGAGAATCATTCAAGAGTGTAGGAGGTAATAAGAAGATTTCCAAACTCTCAATCTGAGCATAGCGACAGTGTTGCCATCTGGTGGCAGATAGCATAGTTGGCAAATTAGCATAAGAATAGTTTTCAGAAATTGAACTGCCAGCATTCCTTTGGTTTTCCATTTCTTCAAGGTGGTGGTAGTGTGTTTCTACTCTTTGTTATCAAAGTACAATACTGTATCTCCTTGGTAGTGAACTGAACTTTCTTGACCCCGTCTTCCCTCTAATTCAGAGGGGCAAGAATGTGAAAAGTACCTCCCTGTGGGGAAGAGGTCAACAGCCTAAACACGTTCTTGGATTGGGGAGCAACCATCAGGATCCTTGCTCAAGATAAACAAAATAAATTACACACACATACACACACACACACACACACACACACACACACACACACACACACACACACACACACACACACACACACACACACACACATAAACAACAAATTGCAGGTAAAGGATAATATTCAGAGGTTGAAAATGGGAAATAGATTCACGGAAGATGAAAAGGAAATGTGTGAAACACTAAACGAAAAGTTCCAAAGTGTGTTTGTACAAAATGAAATCTTTAGGGAACCAGATACAATAAGAATTCCAGAGAACAACATAGAACACATAGAGGTGTCTAGAGACGAAGTGGAAAAAATGCTCAAGGAGCTCGGTAAGAACAAAGCAGCTGGCCCAGATGGCGTTTCACCATGGGTTCTGAGAGAATGTGCATCTGAGCTCAGCATTCCACTTCACCTGATCTTTCAGGCATCCCTGTGTACAGGAATCGTAGCAGACGGGTGGAAACAGGCTAACATAGTTCCAATCTACAAAAGTGGCAGCAGGGAAGACCCCCTCAATTATAGACCTGTATCATTGACAAGTGTAATAGTGAAAGTATTGGAAAAACTAATCAAAACTAAATGGGTAGAACACCTAGAGAGAAATGATATAATATCAGACAGACAGTATGGTTTTCGATCTGGAAGATCCTGTGTATCGAATTTACTCAGTTTCTATGATCGAGCCACAGAGATATTACAGGAAAGAGATGGTTGGGTTGACTGCATCTATCTGGACCTAAAAAAGGCTTTCGACAGAGTTCCACATAAGAGGTTGTTCTGGAAACTGGAAAATATTGGAGGGGTGACAGGTAAGCTTCTATCATGGATGAAAAATTTTCTGACTGATAGAAAAATGAGGGCAGTAATCAGAGGCAATGTATCAGAATGGAGAAATGTCACAAGTGGAGTACCACAGGGTTCAGTTCTTGCACCAGTGATGTTTATTGTGTACATAAATGATCTACCAGTTGGTATACAGAATTATATGAACATGTTTGCTGATGATGCTAAGATAATAGGAAGGATAAGAAATTTAGATGACTGTCATGCCCTTCAAGAAGACCTGGACAAAATAAGTATATGGAGCACCACTTGGCAAATGGAATTTAATGTTAATAAATGTCATGTTATGGAATGTGGAATAGGAGAACATAGACCCCACACAACCTATATATTATGTGAGAAATCTTTAAAGAATTCTGATAAAGAAAGAGATCTAGGAGTGGTTCTAGATAGAAAACTATCACCTGAGGACCACATAAAGAATATTGTGCAAGGAGCCTATGCTATGCTTTCTAACTTCAGAATTGCATTTAAATACATGGATGGCGATATACTAAAGAAATTGTTCATGACTTTTGTTAGGCCAAAGCTAGAATATGCAGCTGTTGTGTGGTGCCCATATCTTAAGAAGCACATCAACAAACTGGAAAAGGTGCAAAGACATGCTACTAAGTGGCTCCCAGAACTGAAGGGCAAGAGCTACGAGGAGAGGTTAGAAGCATTAAATATGCCAAAACTAGAAGACAGAAGAAAAAGAGGTGATATGATTACTACATACAAAATAGTAACAGGAATTGATAAAATCGACAGGGAAGACTTCCTGAGACCTGGAATTTCAAGAACAAGAGGTCATAGATTTAAACTAGCTAAACACAGATGCCGAAGAAATATAAGAAAATTCACCTTCGCAAATAGAGTGGTAGACGGTTGGAACAAGTTAAGTGAGAAGGTGGTGGAGGCCAAGACCGTCAGTAGTTTCAAAGCGTTATATGACAAAGAGTGCTGGGAAGACGGGACACCACGAGCGTAGCTCTCATCCTGTAACTACACTTAGGTAATTACACTTAGGTAATTACACACACACACACACACACACACACCATAAGGAACTTTAGTTTTATTTTCATACTTGTGTTGTCAATTCAAGTTAATACAAAAAGGCTATCTGAAGATAACTCAAAAGTAAAATACATGTACAAGTTTACACTGCTAAATTTCAGATCCCCATGCTTTTTTTTATTCAAAGATAAGAGAGCATACCTTCATTTAAAGTTAGTCAATACAATGAGTTACTCAGGAACTGAATGACGACAAAACAGCATCCATATTAGGGAAACTTAATGAAAATTACAGGTCACCAACCTTCCGGATTCAATGCACGCATGTTCTTTGTCTTTTCGGCATTAAAGGGTCGCACTTGAATCTGATGCTCCAAAATGGTATCTGGGTATCGTTCAAAGAACATCTCATTGATAGCCATGTCAAAAGTAGGAATAACCTGTAATCAAGGCATAATTTTGGTAAAGATATTATAGAATAAGTTAATAAAAAATGGTGAACTAGCTTCAGGTTCTTATTTAAAATAATAAAGATCATAAAGAGATAATGAGTGCTTTATATAGATGAAAGTTTTCATAATGTAGAAAACCAAATTAAATGTAAACGTTATTGGTCGACACTAGCTTGCGAACCGAAGGCAGCCGGCGTGGTGAGGTCCGGGGCCCCCCTTCCCCCTCCCGGGGAGGGAACGGCTGCGCAGACGACCGGCCCGGCAGTTGATTGATTGTTTGACTGTTTCCTTGGGATTGTAGGGAGTTTCTACCTCTCTGTTCGTTTTTTGTTGTAGTTTTTTACCATGTGGGGTTTGTTTTGTTATGCTTGCCTTTCTGGGTGCCTGACCCCGGTCGATGGCAGATAAGGAAAACCCCAACCATAATGGGGTTTTCCAGGGCCATTGCTCCCTGAAACCTCTCTGAAGGGGCCAGGTTCTGGTGCTGGTCCCTGGTAGGTCTGAACTCCATAGCTAATGTCCCGGTCTAACATAACATACATTAGCCCGGTAAGCTCCAGGGAGCCGTAGGGGTTCCCCACAGAAATGGAGGTGCCACTGTAGTCTAATCTCAAACACATCTTTTTCTAACAATGTCACCACTTTGTTCTGTTCAACCAATGATCCTAACTGACAAAATTTAAGTCACACAGAATTTAGTTCTTTAGTGTTGAAGCATAAGAAACTGAAGATGAAAGCTAGCAGCATTATTATTTTTTTTTACCATAAAGATATTCAAAATAAAACTATTTATACTTCCATGTGGAATCGTCCCAGATATCAAGCCCAAGGCTGAAAATAAGGCTATGTTGAAATAAGGCTCTTTAAATTATATGCATAATTGAGACAGTCTGGTGTGGAATGATGTAAAAACATGCATAATGGTGAATTTCATCCAGATTTTATTTATGAAAAATTCAGACATGGAAGGTGTCTAAACTATTACATTTACTTTGAAGAGGAAAATAAGCTATTTCATACTTACTTCCTGTGGATAGCAAATGAGTTGGCGGTACAGGTCTGAATCATACTGATGGAGATGTGAGCAGTTTATATTCAAGAAAGGTTCCTCCAATGTGTGAATCTGAAAATGATTAAAAACATGTTAAATGTTTGATGATAAGAAATTAAAACAGGACTAAAAGTTTTGTAAATTTTAGGAAAACTTAATTTATAACTGATTAAATCTAAAATTTTGCAAATTTAATGTGTTAAAATAAAAATATTAGGTCATCTCTAAAAAAAAAACCAGCATTGAACGTAATGAAATGCCATTTTCTGGGTGAGTCCCGGAGGCTCCCCGGAGCTATCCAGGCTGATATGGATACCCCCAACTATTTTGCATCAGTCAATGTGGGTGGAGTTCTAGCCTACTGGGGACCATGAGCCAGAACCTGGCCTTCTCACAGAGGCACAGGGAGCAATGGCCCATTGAAATGCACATGTGATTTGGAGCATTCTATATCTGCCATCGACCGGGACAGGCACCCAGAAAGGTAAGCGCCATAAAACAAACTTCTATTCTGGTTAACAACGAAAATCGTCAAAAGAGTGGACAGAACTCCCCAAAAGAAAAACAAGCAAACAAGCATGACATCACACAAGCCCCACCGCATGTCTGCGCAGCTTCCCCCTCCCTGGGAGGGGGAAAGAGGGAGCCCCAGACCCTCGCTCCGGCAATCCCCACCCCAGTTCTGAGGCTGGATATTAAAAACTGAAAAAAAAAAATGCCGACTGGGGGGAGGGAGGGTTGCCGGGGAGCCTCCAGGACTCGCTCAGAAAATGGCATTTCATTACATTCAACGCTGGTTTTATGGGGGTAACCTCTACGGCTCCCAGGAGCTACCTCACCAAAGACTACAAAAGAAAAAGGGGACTTACCTGGGAGGTGGGAGGTGCTCCACTATTAAAACTCGAAGTTGAGACAACGGGCTGCAACCACCAACCCAAAGCAACACAGGCCCGATTGGGCCCAGGAACGTTCCCAAGGTAGTGTGCAGCCAGGATGTTCGCAAGGTCATGAGAATCATACTGCATCCTATAAGCCAAAATCACCCAACATAAGGGAAGACAGATAGTCTAAGACCACCAGAAAACCAGAAAGGTAAGGGTCACCCCCAAGTGAGGAGAGCCCCTAAAGAAAAGAACCCCAAACACTCCAGGGAAGACAGCTCCCTGACAGCAAAAGGGCAGCATTTTAGGAGTACACAGAAAAAGCAGCCCTGAGCACATGCCGCTCCAAGCACAGTAAATTCCTATCTCAAGCTGCACAACCATGCACAGGTAAATCATCAAAGGCAACACACCACTTAGCCAAAGATGGGAGACTAGAGCTAGAGTGAACTGGGAGGGCAACCAGGCACGTACACATCAGAATAAGAATTGGAGGGGGAGCAACCAGCTGAACCGGTCTGCCTCCCTCCCTCCTCTCTCCAAACGAGGGGGAGAGGTAAGACGAAATAGCTCATGCAAATTTCACAAATTTTTTATCATTGGTCTACATAATTGGGGAATTCTTTTTACCCGTTTTGAGGCTGCTGACTTGTTTCTAATCAAGTATTGGTGTGTTTTGTTTTGCTGACTTTCTGGGTGCCTTCCCTTGGTGGTAGCTAACATGAATAAATTGATATCAAAAGTTTCATAGATGCCACTGCTGCCTCTCTGAGGGGGTCCAGGTTCTGGCTCATGGTTTCTGGTAGGCCAAATAAAACTCCACAACTGATGGCATCTTGTAGTCTGGCACTTCATCAGTATAGTTGCTTTTCAGGGAGCCACAAGGGGCTCCTCCCCAGAAAATATAAAAAAATGCAATAACACATTTTCCTCCATGTATACTTCACTTCAGAAAATTAATAAACTTAAAGATAGGCTATTCAAATACAGTACATTATTTGACTACATCTATATAAATAAAAATGTAAATGTTCCTTTGTTCAAAATCGCTAATCTCCAAAAGTTCTTCACAGATTGCTTTGAAATTTTCACACAATGTTCCACTCGGATCCGAGCAGGTTTTTATATACATATTATATTGATGTCACATCTGTGACGAAAAAACCTCCCCACCCCGGGAGGGGGAGGGGGGAGCCCCGGACCTACCGCACCGGCTGCCAAGCTCCAGTTCGGAAGCTAAGCTTCAACCAACGCGAAAAAACCGCCGACCAGTGGGAGGGAGGGTTTCCAGGGAGCCTCCAGGGCTCACCCAGAAAATGGCATTTCATTACATTCAACGCTGGTTTTCTGTGGGGAGCCCCTACGGCTCCCTGGAGCTTCATACCCAAAGAGAAGGAAAAGAAAGGGCTAACCCGGGAGGCGGCCGCCACAAACTCTGCAACGCAAAGCCAAGACAACCGGTCGCAAACCTGTGACCCAAGGCAACAAGAACGCCCAAGAACAGACGCACATATGGATGGGCGGCCAAAAACCTGTGCGACCCACAATTCCCTGCGCCCGAAATGAGCCCGAGACGTCACCAACACGGCAGCAATTGCTGCAAACGTCTGAACAGCACGGGCGCAAAGACAGACCGCAGGAAGAAGGAAAACACTGCGGACGACCCGGGAGACCCGAGCCCTGAAAACAGGGAACGAAGGAACCGGATCAACCACAGCGCATCCCCAGGCACGGTACGCCGGCAACAGCAAAAAGCACAACTGGACAACACAGGACGCACCCCCCGGCCAAACCAAACAAGTACCAATACCCCAAGAACCCCTCCGGAAAGCAGCCGTCTCGACCGTCTCCAGGACAGAGAAAGGCTGCACACCAATAAAGCTACCACCAGTACCAAAGAGGAGGAAACTGAAACCGAAGGGGCTACCACAAACTGAGGGGAAGAGAAGAAGGCACCCTGAACAAGGACCAGGATGGCTCAGGCGACTCATGAGCAGGCCGGAGGGGAAACAAAACGCGAGAAAACGTAATAAACGTCATACAGTCTCCAAGACGAAGCTCGCAGGTGGGACACCGTCAACAAAGCCACCTGAACACCATAGAGATGGCGATACCGGCGTCAAAATACCAGACGCGAAGAGCCAAAGAGAAGGCCGAACCAGTCACGGACAGGACCGATTCGGCCTGCTGAAAGAGGCGAAGCCTCAGGAAAAAACGCCCCGGGTACGGACACCTATCAAGCAGCGTCTGAAAAGAAGGCCGGGCCGGCCACCGTGGAACCATAAGGACTGTTCTCGTGGGAATGGGCTGCAACCGAGCCAGAACCCGAAGCAACAGCTGGACCGGGAGAAGAGGTACAGGTACCCCCCACCTCGACCAGGCCTGCCGAAAGCCCCCACCGTGAAGTCCTCGCAGGTGGGAAGGGCGCCACAAAACGGGCGACGCCTAGACCACGCCGACCCGAAGACGTCCATGGCCAGGAGTCCATAAGCCCAACAGAGCCAACAAAACGAATCGGCGACGACTGGCCAACCCACGAAGAGGAATGAACCGAGACAGCTGTCCACCAGGACGCAGGACACACCCCGGACACGAACCACACGGTTAACCAAACCCCCTGTGGTTCCGGCAAGAACCACCAGAGAACAGTCCAAACAGAGCTGAATGGTAGAGTACCTAGTGACCCAAACCCTCCGAAGCGCAAACCAGACAGCCATGAACACCTGAACCGGGCTGTGAGCCCGACGGACAGACAGACTCCATCAACCTCGGCCGACCTGGTGAGCACTGGTCACAAAGCCCCAGCCGAGAGACGACCCATCCGTGAACACATCGAGCGAAGGCTCGGGGAGCTGCCAAGGCACGGAACCCCGAAAACCCCAAAGAGGAAGCTGGTGACGCAGCACCAACACCAGATCCCCAGAGGAACCCAAGGAATGCAAGAGGCAGAAGTGGAGTCTCCGTAGGAACCAACCGACGCCGGAGCCAAACCCGACTCCGCGGGCAGACAAGCACGCCGAAGTGCAAACTCCCGCACAACCGCCCAAGCAACCGCTGAGCAACCCGGGACCCCCTCCTGAACAGCCAAAGGCGGGACCACAGCCACAGTAACACTTCTGGAGGGAAGACAATGAGGGGCCCAAGAGCCTGAAACAAGGCCCAGGTCCGAACCCGGGACGGAAACAGAAGGTAAAACCTCCAGATCACCAGGAAACCAAACCCAGCGATCTGGAAAGAACCATCCCCTGGCGAGCAGACAAGCGGACTGACTGGGAGCCCACTCCAGCCAGTCGTCGAGGTAGGCCAGACACCGAATCTCAGACGCAGACAGGGCACTAAGATCCGGTAAAGATGCAAAGAGTATACAAAGTGCCCTTCACAAAATAGGGAATGCAATAAAAACAGCAAACCTGAAGCCCCACCACCAAAGCATTGTATGACAATCATATTAAGACATATTATGACATATGACAATCATTATATGACAATATGACAATTATAATCAAAGCATTATATGACAGAGTGCTGGGAAGACGGGACACCACGAGAGTAGCTCTCATCCTGTAACTACACTTAGGTAAGTACACATAGGTAATTACCAACCGTGCTAGCCCCAGAAAAACTGGAGAGGAACGTGCCAAGAAGTGACCTGGAGGTCCAGGTCCACCATCCATGCACCCGGCCCTAACAGAATCCGAACAGGAGACAACAGTCCTCCGAGCAGGGCAGAGGATCCAGGGCGCAGACGGAAGTAGTCCAGAAGAACTGCAGACTGGAAAAGCTCAAGACTGCAAAGAGCAGACGGGAAAAGCTCATGACTGCAAAGAGCAGACGGGAAGCCCAGAAGGATGGGGCGGATCGACCACGCCCCAAGCACCCACGAAGAGGAAATGACGAAGCGCAGGGAAGAAGCCCACCCCGCCAGCTCTGAACCCCCCCAAGGGGGAGAAGCCGTCCTCCGACGCCAGCAGAGGCCGGAAGACAACCCAAAGCGCCCACCAACAGCGGGACCAAGCGAGAGGCAACAGAGCAAGCTGCTCCCCCAGCGCCCAGTCAACAGAGAAGGGAACAGAACCCCTTCAGAAAGAAAAAGTACACTACCGAAGTCATGAGGAGAGACTACGGGAATGAAACCACACTTCGCTGGAAGAGGAAGTGAGGGGAGACCTGATCACCACATACAAGATACCCAAGGGAATCGACAGGGTTGAGAAGGACAGGCTATGTAACATAAGGGGCACATGCACTAGGGGACACAGGTGGAAACTGAGTACCCAAAAGAGCCACAGATAGAATTAGTTTTTTTTTTTTTTTTTTTTTTTTTTTTTTGAGTGTCAGAATGGGAACGGGAAAGCACTAAGAAGTAATGTGGCGACTCCTCACACAAGTAACGAGGCTGACCCCCATACAATGTCACATGTAGACACGACAGAGCCCAAGAGGCACAGGAACTGAGGCCAGAGAAGCGTCAATCCCGGTTGACATTAGCGAACGAACTGAAGCTTGGCAGCCGGCGCGGTAGGTCCGGGGCTCCCCCCTCCCCCTCCCGGGGTGGGGAGGGCTGCGCGGACGATTGGCGCGGCAGTAAAGTGTGATGTTTGCTTGTTTGCTTGTTTTCTTGGGATTATAGGGAGTTTTTCTACCTCTCTGTTCGGTTTTTGTTGTAGTTTCTTACCATGTGGGGTTTGTTTTGTTACGCCTACCTTTCTGGGTGCCTAACCCCGGTCGATGGCAGATAAGGAAAACCCCCAACCATATGGGGTTTTCCAGGGCCATTGCTCCCTGAAACCTCTCTGAAGGGGCCAGGTTCTGGCGCTGGTCCCTGGTAGGTCTGAACTCCTTAGCTAATGTCCCGGTCTAACATAACATACATTAGCCCGATGAGCTCCAGGGAGCCGTAGGGGCTCCCCACAGAAAAACATGCTTTTTTTTTAAAAACTGTTTTTCATGTGAGAGAAAGCTTTGAAACCTCTTTACCGATTGCTTTGAAATTTTGACACAACGTTGCATTCGAATAGGCGCGTGTTTCTATATACCTACTATATACATGCCTTACCTGTGACCGGAGAAAACATGTTTTTTTTTTAAAAACATCTCCATCTGTTGGACGTAAGAACAACACACGCTGTAATCTTTCAAGGTTCTTCACTGATTGCTTTGAAATTCTGACAACGCTCCATTCGAATATGCGCGTCTTTTTATATACCTACTTTATAAATGCCACCCCTGTGACAGGTAAAAGCATGTGTTTTTGAAAAACAGCGCCATCTGTTGCATATAATAGCAACATGCACGCTTTACTAAATATGTCATGAATTCCATTTCAATATTTCCGATTGCAATGATAAATTTTATTTTCATAGATTTTGATTTATTTAATTTTTTATTAAATTATTTTGTGGGACATTGTGTTCGAATTGAGCTGTGTTGTTTACCATACTGCTCATTTCGTAAGTATAAGTATAGATGCCACACCTGTTACAAGTAAAACTATGCTTTTCTTGAAAAACAGTGCCATCTGTTGCATGTAATAGGAACACACATGCTATACTAAATATGTGTTGTTTACCATACCGTTCATTTCGTAAGTATAAGTATAGATGCCACACCTGTTACAAGTAAAACTATGCTTTTCTTGAAAAACAGTGCCATCTGTTGCATGTAAGAGGAACACACATGCTATACTAAATATGTTACAATTACATTTCAATGTTTCTAATTGCACTGATAAATTGAATTTTCATAGATTTTTATTTATTTTCATTTTGATTTAATTATTTTATGTGAATTGCATTGTAATTGAGCTGTGTTCTTTACTATACCGTTCTTTTTGTGAGTAGAGTTAATTTTTTTACTTTTTCATATTTTCATTTCATTTTTTAACTTTTTTCTTATACAGTATTTCAGTGATGGGAACATCAGACCATTTGGGAAGGCATCGGACGAGGGAGTGGGGAATGGTGGGGATGACGAGGGAACGGAAGTGAGAGATGGTGGGGCGAACAAGGGAGGGAGTAATGGTGGGGAAGGACGAGGGGACGGGGAAGTTTGGGATGGTGGAGACGAGGGGATGGGGGAATGGAGAATGGTGGTGAGGACAAAGGGACAGGGGAGTGAGCATGATGGGAAGGAAGAGGGGATGGTGGAGTGGGGAATGGTGGGGAAGACAAGGGGATGGTAGATTGGGGAATGGTTGGGAGGCCGAGGAGACGAGTGAGGGGGAAATAGTGGGGAGGACTGGGAGACAGGACTGTGGCTCAGCAACGCACATGTGTTGCTGAGCCACAGCAACACATGGCCAGGTACTGCTAGTATGTTGAATATAAACATGTAATTATGAGATTGAATGTAAGAGGGTGGGGTCTATATAGGGGTGGTATTGATAGGTGAAGGAGAAAGCTGAGAATTTAATTTGCTACCATGTAATGCAAAAAACAAAACTAGCAACAATACCTCCTCTAATTTTTGTAGATACAATGGTTCCTCAGTATTCATGCCCTCAACTCGTTCATCTTCTGCTGCATCAGGATCCACAAAACGAAGTACGAAGGTTTTAAATCGATCCTTACAGTCTGCTACAACTACGTCTGTGCCCCAGATAACAAGTTGGGGGCCTTGGGGTCCCTCAGTTTGGGCCGATCCTCCAGGGGGTGCTGAAGTAGCAGCTACTCCCTCTGCATTAGATTCGCTAGCTGGGTCAGTCGAGATGTTTACCTGATTTTTTTGGTTTGATATAGAATGAGAAACTACATTTGTAAAAACTTGCACAAATCATTATAATAATGACTGGACTAACAAAAATGTTACTAGTATTACTAAAAATTATTAATTAAAACAAAAAATTCAGAACTCTAAAATCCTTAAACAGGGAGACTACAACACTGTTTATAACAAGTAATGTTATACAGATATTGTTATACAGCATCTTTGGGAATATTTTGGCAGTGTTTACTATATGAGAGGGTCAGGAAATTCTAAGCAAAAATGGAAAATAAAGCAGTTATTCCTACCTTGGGGTATAATATTTTTTAAATAGGTACAATGAAACTAGTGATTATTTAATATGACCAATGCAACAACAAATATTGAACTATAGCACACAACATCATACATGTTCATGATCTTCAGCATAACAAATACTTTGTAGAGAAGCCATATTTATTAATAATGTAACTAATATCATAAGAGAGGCTTAAGTTAAGAAAATTCTTACTAAATAAATTACTTGTCCCAAATAAATATGAAAAACACTACAAACAGACCTACATACACAAAACAATTATATTGAGAAACTTAATACAATGCTGTAGTGATTGAATGAAGGTGAAGGAAAGACCAAATACATGTTTTAAGTTTATTTAAACTAAATTTTGATATGCAACCTACATCCTTTCACGAACTGCTGTAAACAATTGTTTACAGCACTTGAGAATGGATGTAGGTTGCATCTCAAAATTTAGGTTTAACACACACATGTACTGAGTCCTTCCTTCACTTTCAAGATTATTGTATAGCAACTACTCTATTAAAACTTTATTCAACAATTTCTTCTAACATTAACATTTAATGCAATATTTTATAATAAACACATCTGTTACAGAGAATAGTCACCATACTGTGACTGAAAACAAAGACAATCCACAGTATCATCTTGATAAGGATTCACAATAAAGTGAAATAAAGTCACTTTCATTTCATGTGTGAGTTGGGTTATTTATATACATACCTATTACACATATTCCAAATATGCAATACATATTTTAAATGTCATATGAAAGATTACATATTCTTACCAACAAAACACCATTTGGGGGTTCAAATCTTTAACCCATAGTATACCATACATACCATAGTATGTACAGTATATGCTGAAGTGTGCTTAGATATGGCTAAATTTAGTATTTTTAAATAACCGGAACAATGTAAATACAATATGCTGTTTTTTGACAAGATTATTTCTAATAATAATTAGGCAATTAATATCTTAGAAAAATAATGCAGACAAGAGAAACACATCAGAAGTGAGGGAAACTAGGGGAAGGAGAGAGAAAAGTGGCAACAATGACTAAGAACAAAATTAATTAAACATTAAAGGTTAAAGGAACCCATTACCTGTCTAATGCGCCGATCAGATCGGATATCTGATCTATGACGGATGGGTGTTCCTCGAACTCCAGAGCGAGGCGTTCGTAGGGATGATCCAACACTGCTTGGTGTCCCATAGTTAAGAGGAGAGCTCAAGTCCACCTCACTGATGGCTAATAAGAGAAAGCACTTAATATTTATTTGGTTGAATAAGAAATAAAAATCTTTTAATAATGGACACGAACTAAAACGACAAGCATATCCCAACACCACACCTGTATAGTATATATACAGCACTGAGCTTGTAAAAGCACCTTCATCACCTTCAGTGATTAATTGCACACTAGTTTCTTTATCAGCTATCTCACCCTGTCAGAGTAAATGAGACAGATGTATGTGAATGCATGTGTGTGTATATATGTATGTATATGTGTGTGTATGTATATGTATGGGTATAAAGTATATATGGAAGCTGATCAGAATTACATTTCACCTTTGTGAATGTACATTAATGACACTATGTAAAAGACACATCAAACACTTTATGTAGGGCATACGTAAATCTGTGTATCTATGTATTTACGTATGTAGGTTAGGTATGTAGGTTTACGTATTTACGTATGTAGGCTTACCATTTTAAAAGCACCGAATCACCTTCTGTGGTTGAGTGTTTAATAAACCCTTGAACTATACTGTATGTTTAACATTTCTCTAACCCTGTCCATGGAGGACAGAAGAAAATGTATATATGCTGGTTAGCATTGTAAATGTGTGGCCACGTCTGTGGTAGAAAAAAAAAAAAATAGACCTAACAAAGTGTTTTTCTATATAGGCAGCACTGCCACAGAATGGTTACATTTTACATGGCAAGTTGAATACAGCAACGACGAAGCCCTATCTCGAAAAGTCACTACTGTATTACATTATTTTGGTTTCATTACAATGATTTGTAATATTGCAAGCTAATGTTTGTTTATTAGTATTTACAGTGGTACCTTTGTTTTCAAATTTAATCCATTCCCAGAGACGGTTCAAAAACTGAAAATTCAAAAACCGAAACGAATTTTCCCATAAGATACGCGTACAGCCGACCTAGCGCGTTCGTCGCCCCTCCGCCCCTCAGTTTATTATTGTCTGGCGCTCAGTGACTACCCCCACATCAATTCTTCTCGCGGATTTTCAGTGTTTTGTTGGATTTTTGGTGATTTGTCTATACAATTTGTTATTATATATCTCACCATGGGTCCCAAGAAAGCCAGTGGTAAGGATAAAGGCCAGAAAGCTCCTGTGAGGATGACAATAGAGGAGAAACAAGAGATCATTCGGAAGCATGAGAACGGTACACGTGTTGTTGAACTTTGTAGGCAGTACAACAAAGCCACATCAACAATATGCACTATACTTAAGAAGAAAATAAGATTATGGGTGCTAAAGTGGCAAAAGGAGTAAGAACATTAACGGCACAAATACTTGAAGAAGTGGAAAAGTTGTTATTAATTTGGATACACGACAAGGAGTTGAGGGGTGATAGTGTTTCGGAGGCCATTATTTGTGAGAAAGCCAGGGTGTTGCACGAAGACCTTCTAAAGAATACCCCTGCAACGAGTGATGCAGATAAGAAAGAGTTTAAGGCAAGCAGGGGCTGGTTTGAAAAATTTAGAAAGAGAAGTGGTATCCATAGTGTTACAAGGCATGGGGTTATGTGATGTGATTATGGAAGGGGACTCCCCTTCCAAACAGTAACTCCTCTCCTCCTCCCCCTCCTCACCATCTTCCATACGCCTACAGCACTCGACAGTAAGGTAAGTAATAACTGGAACACAGTTTTGTAGGTTTATTTAGATGAATTAGGTATAAAAATTTAGTTTGATGTGGGGTTTTTGGGGTAGTCAGGAACGGATTAATTCATTTCCCTTTATTTCTTATGGGGAAATTAACTTCGGAATGCGAGTTTTCGGAAGGCGAGGAGTCTCCAGGAACGGATTAAACTCTTATTCTGAGGTATGCCTGTATACAGTAATGTAAATTGAATTAATGCGTTCCACACTCCCAAAAGTATTTTTTAAAGAATAAATTTTATACATACTACTAATTATATTTTGTATTACAGTATGTACAAGTATATCTTACCATTATTGAGGACTCTTGTTGGCGTATGGAAGACAGACAGGAAGGGGGAGGAGAGGTGTTAGTATTTGGAAGGGGAGTCCCCTTCCATTATAATAGCCGTGATGACACTTCTGGGGTACTCTCTTACATTTTGCAGGCATACCACTAGGACCTGGTTGTGGCTCACTGCTTGCTAGTCTTACTAAGCTGTCTATAGACACTTGTTTTTTCCCTACGTTTTAACTCTTGTCTGTAGCGAGACATCACATTGTGTCACTATAAATGATCTCGTTTTTCTTCTATCGTCATCCTCAACTATTTTCGCAGATTGAACTTGGTTAGCCTTGGTTTTGGTTACCCCCTGGGTTGTCCCCTGCTAGCCTCATCCCCCCCCCCTCGTGAGTGGACGCATCCCGGGGGTTCAGCTTTTAGCAGTTTTCTTGGTAGACTTGGATGCTGGTTAACAGTACCCCGCCTGGGGCTTTCCTTAGGGTGTTTCCTGTCTAAGGGCCCCTGGGGAAACCACGCAGGGGCACTTTGGTCCAATGGATGCGACCCCTGGGTCCCCCTCTCACCTTGTGCGAGATTGTATGTTGCACTGTTACATTATAACATCAGGCAGTAATGACATTTCTGGGGGTACTCCCTCTCCTACATTTTGCCTGCATACCACTAATACCTGCTAGTGGCTCACTGCTTATTTTTCTTGCTAAATACCTGTCTAGCGACAATTGTTTTTCCCTATGCTGCAACACTAGCTTGAAGTGAGACATCACATTGTCATTAACACTTACACTGCTACAGTCTGGGTGTGACATCACATTGTCATTAACCCTTACACTTCTACAGTCTGGGTGAGACATCACATTGTCATTAACCCTTACACTGCTACAGTCTGGGTGAGACATCACATTGTCATTAACCCTTACACTTCTACAGTCTGGGTGAAACATCACATTGTCATTAACCCTTACACTTCTACAGTCTGGGTGAGACATCACATTGTCATTAACCCTTACACTGCTACAGTCTGGGTGAGACATCACATTGTCATTAACCCTTACACTGCTACAGTCTGGGTGAGACATCACATTGTCATTAACCCTTACACTGCTACAGTCTGGGCTGTAAATGGGGGTATAAGCTGGGGCTAGGCTTAAAAATATTTGAATTATGTGAAAATTAATATTAAATGTTAAACAAATCTCTAACTTATTGGCTTCAGCGTCGTGAAAGTTTCATCCCAATATTTTCAGAAATGGATTTTAGACCATTTAAAAAACCAGCGTTGAATGTAATGAAACGCCATTTTCTGGGCGAGACCCGGAGGCTCCCCGGAGCTTTACCGGCTGATATGCTAATGTCAGACTTTGGCATCAGTCATGTGTATGGAGTTCTAGGGCCTACCGGGGACCACGAGCCAGAACCTGGCCCCCTCAGAGAGGCAAGGGGAGCAATGGCCTATAGAAACCCCCGTGTGGTTGGAAGCATTCTATGTCTGCCATCGACCGGGTCAAGCATCCAGAAAGGTAAGCATTCCAAAACAAACCCCTATTCTGGTGAAAATTGCTACCTAAGCCGAACTAGTGAATAGAACTCTTCAACAGAAAACACGGAAACTAGTATGACGTCATACGTCACCGCGCCGCTGTCTGCGCAGCTCCCCCCTCCCCGGGAGGGGGAAGGGGGAGCCCCAGACCTCCCACGCCGGCTATCCACCCATCAGTTCTGAGGCTGGATGTCAAAACACGCGAAAAACGCCGACCGGAGGGAGGGAGGGTTGCCGGGGAGCCTCCGGGTCTCACCCAGAAAATGGCGTTTCATTACATTCAACGCTGGTTTTCTGGGGGGAGCCCCGTCGGCTCCCCGGAGCTAACTACCCACAGAGGAAGGTCAAAGGGACAAAACCGGGAGGCGGACACCACGCACCCCCCAAGGAGGAGAGACAACCTGCAGCAAACGCCAACCCAAGGCGCCACAGCCCCGAAAATCCCGGGAACAACACGAGAACCACGAGCAGCAAGGCCCCTGCACGAACACCAAAAATCCATGCCCGAAAGACTGCAAGGCCACGTCGCCCAGACGGCAGCGAGAGCAGCGAAGCCACGAACGCCATAGGCATGAGGGAAGAACACAGGCAGCTTAGCCGCAAGAACACGGCTGACCACCTGGGACACCATCACCCGCGAACCGGGAAGAACAGAACCGGATCAACGCAAAACGCGCTCCGGACCCAAACGCCGTGGCACGCAAACAACAGCAGAGGGCCGCCACTGAACACAAAAACGACACACCCCCGGCCCGACCAACAAAGCACCAACAAACCCTGGACCCCTCCAGAATGCAGCAGCCCCACCCCGCGCCAGAAAAGATGGAGACTGCTGCCATCAAACAACCAAAACGCTAAAACCGAAGGAGCAAGAAAACAGCGAACCGACCCCCAGAGGCAAAGGCCCAAAGGAAAGAGCCGACGAAAAAACACACCGGAACCGAAGGGGCACTACCAACCGAGGAGAAGACAGAGCACGCTGACCAGAGACCAGGATGGTGCAAGCGGCGCACGAACAGGCCGGAGGTGAAATGACGCACAAGACAGCTGACTAACGGTGCAGAAGCAACACCAAGACCGAAAGCAAGCTGAAGCGGCTCCGCCTGCGCCGCACGAAAAGAGGCGACAGTATGTGGCAAGACGACGGCCCCCAACCCCACTAGAAAACCAAGCCGAGAGTAAACCAAGCCAACAAGAAGGACCCACCGAAGAAGGGACAGGAAAAGGAAGGACCGCCAAAATACCCCATACTGCCGCCAAGAAAGCACGCAGGTGGGACACCTACCACGAAGCCACCCGACCACCAACCGGAGGCGAGACCACGAGGCAGAACATAAGCAGCCCCGACAAGGCCCCCCCGAGCCCAGGAAAAAGGCGGAGCCGCGAGAAGATCTCGGGCGCGAGCACCGAAACCCAGGCGGCACAAGGAGATGGAACGTCTGCCGAACAGAAAAACTCCGAAGCATGCAAGCCCGCCAGGAGTTCAGAAACGACGGGTCCGACGCGAGACATCGC